CTGGGTGTGGTTTGCACGTTCTATTCGTGCATGCATGGGTTTTCTCTGGATACTCCGGTTTCCTCTCACGGAGCAAAAACATGCATGTTAGGCTGATTGGTAACTAAATTGTCCCTTGATGTGAGTGAGAGAGTGAATGGTTGTTTGTTTTGTTTGGCTCCATGTGTCCCTGTGATGGACTGGAGACCTGTCCATGGAGTACCCCACCTCTCACACATATATAGCTGGACATGGGCAACAGTGACCCTGCGACAGCCCCCAAAAAGGAAAAAGCGAGTAAAGATAATAGATGGATGGAAAGCTAACAAATTAAGGAAAATTGTGAACAGTATATAACATCTCTTTAACCTCTGTTGTGTTTTCATGTAAAAAAAAAACAAAAAACAAGATACTATTGCTATGAGAGGATATTTACCCATACTAAGAATGGTGCTGGGTATGTCAACGTTTGTTAGAAACATTTTAAAAGCAAGTGTTTTTATTACTGAAGGAATAATGGTCATTAAAAAAATGCAGACATGATTTAAAGGCCTAGCTATGCTACTACAAATATTTTTCCTGGGTTTATTTTTGTGTTCATTGTTAACACATTCTAAACTATCCATCCATCCATCCATTATCTTTTACCTGCTTCTTCCATTTTGGGTCATGGGGGGCGCCGATGCCCATGTCCAGCAATCACTGTGCGAGGGGTGCGGTACACCCTGGACAGGTCTCCAGTCCATCACAGGGACACATAGACAAACAACCATTCACTCTATCACTCACCTAGAGACAATTTAGAGTTACCACTCACCCTAACATGCATGTTTTTGGTCTGTGGTAGGAAAACGGAGTACCCGGAGAAAACCCACGCATGCACGGAGAGAACATGCAAACTCCACTCAAAAAAGTCCCCGGACTGGGATTTGACTCGGCAACCTTCTCGCTGAGCGGCAGCAGCTCTACCAGTTGCGCCACCGTGCTGCTCGTTCCAAACTTACCCCCACTAAATGCCAGTGCTGTCAGTGTGGGTCATTTGACCCAAGGGCAGCAGGAGGGTTAACATATCAAAAGGAAGAAAGAAAAATAGTTGATTTCATGTACAATTTCTTGTTTTACTAATCAATCAGTACATGGTCAAAGTTTAATGGTAACAGAATTGGGAGAAAGTGAAACAGATGCAGAAAAAACAAACTAATAATAATTTGCTTTGGTTTCAAGGCCTCCAAGGGGTTGTGGGCAAACCGGCTGCAACATCATAATTTCTGGAAAGCACCGTTTCTCAGTTCAGTTTATAGTCAACACCCGACTATAAACAAAAATGTGAAAAATCTCCACTTTGGAAAGTGTTTATAACAGTAAAGTCCATGCTCAATAATCCAGGTATACAATCCAACATTTTTCAGTCAGGTCATCTGGACAGCTTCTTTTTTTTGTGCTGAAACGTTTCGCCTTCGATCCAGAAGGCTTCATCAGTCAAGAACACGCACACAAAAAAAACTGATTCTTCCCCCAACAGCTTACTCCAAAGTGGAACAAACCAGTTTTGCTTGTGATAAGATGGTCTCTTTGGTATGCCCCCCCTCCATTGCTGGCCCTCTTCCTTGTTGACAGTCTTGTCCAACTGTGTGCGAAACGTTTTAGCACACACACACACAAATAGAAACTGTCCAGATGACCTGACTGAAAAATGTTGGATTGTATACCTGGATTATTGAGCATGGACTTTGTTGTTTTCAACCAGTTTGACAAGAATGTCAACAAGGAAGAGGGCCAGCAGGACGTACCAAAGAGACCATCTTATCACAAGCAGAACTGGTTTGTTACACTTTGGAGTAAGCTGTTGGGGGAAGAATCAGTTTTGTTGTGCGTTTCCTTGACTGATGAAGCCTTCTGGATTGGAGGCGAAACGTTTCATCACACACACACAAAAAAAGAAACTGTCCAGATGACCTGACTGAAAAATGTTGGAGTGTTTATAACAGTGTTCATTTTTCCCCACCAAAAAAAGTCAATGTGGACGAAAGGCACAACTGCAGCATACAAAGGGTAAAACCACACAGAGGCACAAACACCTTACCAGTAACTAACCAACCCCACTCTAAAAGTCTTACAAGAAGATGAAAACCACTTACAAGCACTTGCCAAACAACCCCAGTCTTTCTGACAGCGTGAACAGCTTATTTTGAGAAATACCTATAAAAAATGTATGGAAAGAGTCCTTCCGGCTCCCCACAGCAACGGTGAACTACTCTTAAAGGCTGAGAGCAAGCAAGGCCAAGCAGAACCATCTCCACGTTTTAACCATGCATCCAATATTCCTCGCCATGCTGTGAGAGCATCAAGAAATTTTTGTACGATATTAACAAAAATCTGTAAAATATGTCTAACATACTTTTAGATATATTGCCCCTGTACTATCTTCCCACTTTACTTGTAATCTCAAACTTCAGTAATTTAAATTAATAAATGAGCCTAAATGTGCCTAATATCAATTTTATATGTTCACCAGAGTATGACAAATCTTTCCAGAGCGCAACGATGAAACGTCTAAATAATGTATTCCAATGAGCCGAAGCCTTTTATGTATTCAGTCTTCACATCATGTCACAATGTACTTGTTGTTTCAGTGCATTCATTTCTTGTCACTAAGTTTGCCAGAAGACCCATCAGTCAAATCCGGTACATTTTGTTCTACGTTCGTACTGAATTTGTCCGTTTCCGCATTTAAATCCACATGTACTCACAGATAGTCAGACTTGATTCAAACTTTAATTTGAAGCTTCTTTTAAGTGACTCAAACTTAATATATATTTAAGGTCTTGTACACAGACATACCCGGACTACAACCTGCAGTCTTGGGGTTACTATAAGATTGCAGCACGCACCACCGGGTTGCGGTATCCCCCATGACATGACGTAATATATGGTTTTGTGTAAATATGGATGGCCACAAAGATGTAACTCTCCTAGAACTCTGTGATTTTTGTTTCATTCAATGTGATGTCAGAATGAATTCACAGAAGAACAGAATGATTTTGATTCAGTGTACTGCAACTGCATATTGATGCCTACTTAGAAGCCCATCTTGGCATAGCACATTAATCATTTCTGGGCTGACTCATTGAAGGTTTTGGCTTTTTCTGAAAGCAAAGTCTCTTCGGAGTAATGTTAAAGTGCCTCCTGAATACTCGACAGTCATTCGCTAAAGCAATTACATGGACTGAGAGAAGAAATATTTAGTTTGTCGTATTTTGAAGAAATTACATTTAGGCTTGTTGAGTAATTCTTACAGTCGTGCTTTTCTAACAGCATACACCAAACATGATCATTTTCTCACTTTTGTTAACATTTATTTAACAAGACTGACGCAAGTAACACAAAGTACCTGTTCAAACAACAAGAATGCGTTTGTTTCACTTAAATTATACTAATTCAGTCTTCAAATACTGTGTTGGGCTGTCCTGTATGTGTTAGGGTTGCAAAGACATGGAAAATTTCTGGTAAATTTCTAGAAACTTTCCTTGGGAGTATTGGGTATCTATGGAGATTAACTGGAAATTGGGGGCAATTTAAACAACCTATGTCATAAAAGATAAACATTTTGCTTAACGTGCGAGTCACTTTGGAGAAAAAATGAAGTTGACCCAAACAAAGAGACAAATTTTAGCACCCAACTTGCTCTTGGTGACCTCACTAATGACATCATGGATTTTAATCATTTTCAACATTTCTAAAGACTTTTTTTTTGTGTTCTTGCATTCTTTTTTTAAAATTCACAACTCAGAACAACAAAAAAATGTTTATTTTTGTCGTCATTGTAGTCACATAGACCTAAATTGGTAAATTGCATATGAAATAATGTTTACAATTCTGTACAAAGGTCAAATTTCTTAAAACGACAGAAACCTATTTTCATGAAATTTGATCAATACTGTGGCCTTTTCAATAATTGTATCTACATAAAAACAAAACAAAACATTTTATGTTATTGCCATCTGTCCCTACATGTCGAGGCTTATTTATTTTTAGACTGTTGGAGCTGTAATTTTAAGGTACATCAAGGAAATCCGGTCGTCAAAATGATGCTAAATAATATTTTTCCCAGCTATATTGAAGTTTCCTGATAAGGGCTAACCTTCAGTATTTTACATTTTAGGCTTATTTCCGGTTTAGTTATTCCCATAATTTCTCATCAATTCCTATGGAAATTTTCAAACCTTGAAAATAGGTAGAATGTTGCAATTTCATTTATATACCGGTATATAGTGTGTGAGGGATAGAAGGGAGGTAAATAGCACTTAGTTAAATGAGTGTCCGTGTTCAACATTAGCATTTACTTTATAGATTGCACTTGAACATGTTTTCCTTCAAAAACACAATCTAAATTGGGACGCTCGAAGGATAAATTCTTCTCAGACCCCTGCTGCCTATTTGCTCCCCATAAACATGAAATGTATGTAATTTAGCTCCATCTTCCCTGGGTAGACAGAGAATTAGACAACACTGCATCTCTTTCAACAAATTAACATACCCATCCCCTTCGCTGAGCTCTGACACAGCTGTTTTACATTTTCTTTAGCTGAGCTAATAGGCCATCATCTTGGATTAAAAGAAAATCATCTCCCATCGTAGTAGAGCGCAGAAACATCACAGAGCTCATCCTGACTCATACGGACAGTTATTAAAAATGGGATGAATGAGTTTTAGAATACATACGTATGGATTTGCTAGGAGTGTGGGTATTAGAAATAACTTACATTTGGAAAGTGCATTAAAAGCTAGTATGAGCTTAATTGGTGCGTTTTAATGAGAGTTTAAAGTTGCCTTGTAGTTGGAGGGTCTTATAAGTTTGGTTATGTCTTGTTTCTGAGTCACTTGGAGAAGATTAAGGTAACTTCAAGGGAAAATGACAAGACCGGTGACTCATGCCAGGCTTGCACAGCCTGAAACGGTACAATTATGTTCAGTAAAAAATCATTTATATCGGTGCTGTATTTCCTAGAAGTTTGCCTTACCTTCGCTCAATGGGTCCAAAGTGTGAATCATCAGCTGGAAAATGCTGTTCCTCATCAAGCTGTTGTGCAGAGAAGCCGAACTACCTCCTCTCTGAAGCCGAGGCCTGGCCTACGAGAGAAGAGGTACAGTGTCAGTCCAACATCCAGCTGCTGGGAATGAGTCCTATCAAGTTGTTTGATTCATTAAATGATCATAAAACCAAAGTGCCACCTCATATTGCAACTTGGCATGGGTTGATATGAAAGTACTATAGCAATATCACATTATGGTTATGGCATTAAATTAACAATATCATTGCTCTTTAATAAACAATACTGTTGATTTCATCTCAACCTTTGAATGATTGAGCCTGACTGAGGTTGATGTTAGCTAGTTATTTAGCTACACCGCAAACCCAATATTGTTGATTAACTCGATAATACTATGGGGTGCCGTTTGTAAAGTTGCACAGTCAAAAATTATAAATATTTTGGTTTATTTAGCTTTTAATAAGAAAATAGTTGTTTTTTTCAAAGTCATATTTCACCATGTTATTCATACATTTATAAATGTCTTAGTTCCCAACTAAATATTTAATTTACAAGATAAATATTTAATTTACAAACTAAATACTTAACTTGCAAGTTAAATATTTAGTTAGTAAACTAACTATCCATCCATCCATCCATCCATCCATTATCTTTACCCGTTTATTCCATTTTGGGTCACAGGGGTCGCTGGTGCCCATGTCCAGCAATCACTGTGCGAGGGGCGGGGTACACCCTGGACGGGTCGCAAGTCCATCACAGGGCCACATAGAGACAAACGAGACAAACAACCATTCACTCTCTCACTCACACCTAGGGACAATTTAGAGTTACCAATCTGCCTAACATGCATGTTTTTGGTCTGTGGGAGGAAACCGGAGTACCCGGAGAAAACCCACGCATGCACGGAGAGAACATGCAAACTCCACCCAGAAGGCCCCTGGACCGGGGTTTGAACCAGGGACCTGTTCGCTGAGAGGCAGCAGCTCTACCAGTTGTGCCACCGTGCTGCCCGTAAACTAACTATTTAGGTATAAATTGAATATTTAATTTACACCTATAAATTTAGTTTACCAACTAAATATTTAATTTTTATGCTAAACATTTAATTCCTAAATAGTTAATTTGCAAACTAAATATTTAGCTTGGACGTGAATATATATTTTACAAAACAAACATTTAATTTCCAAAATAAATATTTAATTAGCTAACTAAATATTTACTTCAAACTTAAATATTTAACTAGCTAGTTAAATATTTAACTTACTAGGTAAATATTTAGGTCCAAGCTAAATGTTTAGTCAGTAAATTAAATATTTAGTTTAAGAATTAAATCTTTAGCTTAGAAATTAAATATTTAGTTAGTAAACTAAATATTTAGTTAGTAAACTAAATATTTAGGTGTAAATTTAATATTTTATTTACACCTAAATATGTAGCTTACCAACTAAATATTTAACTTGCAAGTTAAGCATTTATTTTGTAAACTAAATATTTATCTTGTAAATTAAATATTTAGTTGGGAACTATGACATTTATAAATGTATGAATAACATGGTGAAATATTTTGAAAAAAAAAAATCTTATTTAAAGCTAAATAAACCAAAATATTGATGTTAATTTCAGCCTGTGCAATTTTACAAATGTCACCCCATACAATACATGCCAACTCTTCGAGCGTCATTTGTTTTAAAACTGCATTTTCTTAAAAAGCAAGGCAAATGTTACTTTTCTCATAAGACATGTCATCACCATCGGTGGTTTTTGTTACCAGAAAAAATTCAAAGTGGACACCAACCCATGTCCATTTGTGTCCTTTAAGATCTGAATTCCTGTACAGCAACTTATGGTTTGTAAGCTCACAGTATTTAACTTGCATTTTAGGGATGTATTTTGATTTTTGTGCTTTTATATTGCTTTAGTCACAAATGCATGTTAGTTCATCATTTGCTCATGAATACTCTGTGACCTTGGCGACATGTCTCGGTAATCTTCTTTTCTGTTAAACCATTGAGCGAAACCTGCAACCGCAACCCGGTAAAAATCGTGCAGCTTCTTAAAAAATATAAGCCTCGTCGGTTGCGACAGGCAGACTCATTCAGAGCGACACTTGAGCTTCTTCTCCCAAAAGAGTCCTTCCCAAGGTCACCCCCAGCAGCTGAGGCTGAACTGTGGAAAAACCAGGTGTCGTCGCAGGTGACAGCTGTTGGGAGCGTGTCCGCCTTTGGATGCTCACAGGATGCGTAGGCGCAGGAGGTGTCAGGTACTAATTCACAAGTCCGTATGGGTGAGAGCTGGAGGCGAAGGAGACAATGCAGACTGGTGGGGGGTTGTGAAAGGTGGCCCTTAAGGATCACCTTCTGCTATTCTGGTTTTATTCGTCGTCTTTACTTTCCGCTTGAAGACTTTTAAGAACTAGACAATCTGAAGACTGAAGTACATGCTCAATGTTAGCTGTCGTTTTCCTGCTGTAGCTAAACGGGTTTCAGAAAACAGATGTCGCCACTCTGCACAAAAGGATGCTGAGGGTTAGAAATAGTGTGCGTATCTTGTTCACAATATGGCAGAAGAAACGCACTAAGAACATCCACACACACACAAAAAAAAAAAAAAAACTGGGACAAACACAGAAACAGACGGCAAAGTGTCAATCAGACGAGACCTACCGACAACTTGCCATCATCCTCAGGCGCCCCGGGACTCGCCTTCTCATCCAACACAAAGAGAAGAAGAAGTAAAAGGAAGGGGAAGAGAAAGAGAAAACAAGACATACATGTGAAGCATGCCACACACAGACGAGACAAAAAAGCAATAGAGAAAGACAGTACAGCACAGAAACCGTGATAACTGACTGTGATGTGAACGGACAAGACTTGAGACAGATTCCTCCCCACTGCTGTGACACCCCGTTGTTGCAAGCTGAGCAGAATTACACTGTCTACTTAAGTTTTCTTGAAATTTATACAAAAACGGTCATTTAGATCAAACGCCTAAAACTTTAGTGATGGTAGAGGAAATCAAGACGTAGATTCAGTATTTAGTACTTTGTGTGAGATACATTTACAAGTCGAGGCGGTTTAGTAATGGCAAATGTACTTAGGTTGATCCTTTTATATTATTGATTAAATGAAAACAGGTTTATGTTTCAATCATTTGAAAAGTAAAATAATAAATTTACCCAAGGCTTGGTATAGAGTGCAACTTGACTGTTGTAATTCGCTACATAGCAGCAATTATTTTTTTTGTGGGCACATAGTACTGCAAGTTGTTAAAACACCAAGTTTTTATTTTATTTTGCTTCCAATGAGCCAGACTTGCTTGTAATCTTCTAAAGTGGTCTTGATTGGTAGTTCTTTAAGCTTTCCAAAAAGGTATTTCTACGTTTTGCTTGCTTTTTTTTTGACAGCAAGTTGTTCAGTTTGTTTAAATTTAAGAAAGTGGACAAGTAGAGTACAAAAGAAGACGTGTCAGACCTAAAACGCGATCTACAGAAGATAAACTACATCTGAAAGTCTTGACTTTGGGGAAATATGAAAAGAAAAAACTCCAAAGTCCTCAGAGATCCTTCAGTTAATCATTGTATGCCAAGTTTTCAGCCATTAACTCTTTATAAATTACCTTGATGGTGCAAAAAAATTTTGTAACCAGTCTCAAACTATGTTAATTTTGATACTATATAGCTGGGTCACTAGTATGTCAGCTAGTTACTAATCAGAATTCAAAACTGGTTGTTTGCTATGTAGTTTGTTATGTGGAGACACAAGAGTCTTCTTTTGATTCAGGAGCTTTTATGGCTGAAAGGTTTATACGTCAGAGTTAGGTGGCTTAACAAACAAGAAAACACTACTTTAGGATTGATTAAGCACTGTGGTGAAAATAAGTTCAAAAGCAAAACTTTGGAAGACTTTTCGAAAGCCTGAAGAGATTTTAACTCAAGACTGCTTGAAAAGATTACAAGAAATCTTGGCTCCTTAAAATGAAAACGACAAATAAATGAGGGATGACTCAAGACTTCTGCACATACGAAAGCACAAACCTGTCTAGGTGAGATCTCACAGCTGAGAGTGCACATATGAGAGACCAATAAGAAATGAGGTCGAGAACATCGTTTACACTTGCTAGACAATACTGTGTCAAGGCAAAATTCTTGGGGAGGCTTCGAGAAAATTTCTGCAGCACTGAAAGCCCTACATATCACAGTAACCGCCATGATTCTCTATCTGAAAAAGCATGGCCGCTCGGACAGACCTCTTAAACCTAACCTGCCAAACTGAGTAGTCAGAGATAAAGGGCCATAGGCAAGACATCCACGTTTGTGGGTGAAAAAAGGATCCTGAAAGATGTGCAATGATCCTCCAGTCAGGTCATTATAGTAGCACTTAATAAAAAGCAATTTGTCACAAAAGTTTACAAGAAAGCTTTAGATGTGTAAAGTATGAGAAGGAAAATCTAAATGTCTACTACAGTGTGGTGAAATATGGTAATCGTAACCTCATTTGGAGGGGAATTGCGTTTCCTCTTATTGTAACAGACACTACAGGAAAATAGCAAAAATCTAATATAAAATTTCCAAGTTACACTATTCGTATAGGGCTATGAATACTGTACCAAAAAAGGAGGAAGAGTTCTCATATCATAGCTTAGTTTTAATTAAATTTGTCACTGGCTATAAGAAGATACTTGGCCATCCAAGTATCTTCGCGGATACTTGGCCAAGTATCTTCGCAGATACTTGGCCATCCAAGTATCTTCGCAGATA